ATATGCTAAAATATGCAAAAATATGCAAAATATGCAAAAAATATGCAAAATATGCAAACATATGCAAAATATGCAAAAATATGCAAAATATGCAAAAATGTGCAAAATATATGCAAAATATGCAAACATATGCAAACATATGCAAACATATGCAAACATATGCAAACATATGCAAAATATGCAAAATATATGCAAACATATGCAAACATATGCAAACATATGCAAAATATGCAAAAATATGAAAAATATAGGCAAAAATATGCAAAATATGTGCAAATATGAGCAACATATTTCACATATGCAATCATTTTAATCAAAAAAAAAAAAAAAAAAAAATTCAGGGTAGTTTTCGAATTTGTGTGCTTTCTTTATTTTTAACCTATAGAAATCTAATTGTGTATGTATGCGTTTCATGGTTCAACTGTTAGATTTTTGGGGCATTATGAAAAATTTGCTAAATATATGTATAAAACATGCAAACATATATAACCGTTATATGGCGATATACTAAAACGTGGACCGATATATCCCATTTCCAATACCAAACATCCTAGGAGTAATAATAATATATGTGCAAAATTTCAAAGTTCTATCTTTAATATTGCGACCTAGCATACCGTGCATATATTTTGCATATTTTTGCATATGTTTGCATATTTTGCATATTTCTGCATATTTTGCATATGTTTGCATATTTTTGCATATTTTGCATATGTTTGCATATTTTGCATATATTTTGCATATTTCTGCATATTTTGCATATCGACAATGCATATTTTGTATATTTTTTGCATATATTTATCGCATATCGACCTAGCATACCGTGCATATTTTTTGCATATTTTGCATATTTTGCATATTTTTGCATATTTTGCATATTTTTTGCATATTTTGCATATTTTGCATATGTTTGCATATTTTTGCATATTTTGCATATTTTGCATATATTTTGCATATGTTTGCATATTTTGCATATATTTTGCATATTTTGCATAATTTTGCATAATTTTGCATATATTTTGCATATTTTTGCATATTTTTGCATATTTTGCATATTTTGCATATGTTTGCATATTTTTGCATATTTTGCATATGTTTGCATATTTTGCATATATTTTGCATATGTTTGCATATTTTGCATATATTTTGCATATTTTGCATATTTTTGCATATTTTGCATATTTTTGCATATTTTGCATATTTTGCATATGTTTGCATATTTTTGCATATTTTGCATATGTTTGCATATTTTGCATATATTTTGCATATTTTTGCATATTTTGCATATTTTTGCATATTTTGCATATTTTGCATATGTTTGCATATTTTGCATATTTTGCATATTTTGCATATTTTTGCATATTTTGCATATATTTTGCATATTTTTGTATATTTTGCATATTTTTGCATATTTTTGCATATTTTGCATATTTTGCATATTTTTGCATATTTTGCATATTTTTGCATATTTTGCATATCGACAATGCATATTTTGTATATTTTTTGCATATATTTATCGCATATCGACCTAGCATACCGTGCATATTTTTTGCATATTTTGCATATTTTTGCATATTTTGCATATTTTTTGCATATCTTGCATATTTTTTGCATATTTTGCATATTTTTTGCATATTTTGCATATTTTTTGCATATTTTGCATATTTTTTGCATATATTTTGCATATTTTTTGCATATATTTTGCATATTTTTTGCATATTTTTTGCATATTTTTGACATGACCCCAAATATCGATCAATTAAAGCATGAAACGCCTAAATACAAAATTTGAGTCCAATCGGATAAAGCATAAAAAATATGCAAAAATCCGAGGTCTAGTTATTACAAAGTACAACTACCAAACATCTCCCTTTGAACAAGTTACTGCGATCTACAACCATGACGTGCTTTCCGCATTAGAGAACCTCTCTGTTCAAGATGATGAGCAGAATAGTTTGACAGCTACAAGAACTGTTACCGCTGCCTGTGACCATTTGTTCAAAAAATCTAAGCAATTATAAAGTGCGAGATTTGATTGCGGAAGCCAATTTTTTTTTACAATTTTTTGACTGCGACAACCAAAACTTCTCAGAGCACTAAAAGCTACTTTACTAACCTTAGCATCGCTTTAGTTGAATATCCATGTGTCTCTGTGAGGAATTGCTTAAATGAATTGAGAGAGCGACTTCATGGAAACAAGAAAGCGCTTTTGTAAAAGTCCTTCATATATAGGTTTGTGTGATGTTTGGTCTAGACCGCAAGCTTTTCTGGTTTGAAAGAAGTTTTAACATTTAGGTAACAAACATTCAATGTAGCTTTTTATGTTATTATGATGATTTTATAAAGTTTGAAGAAGATCTTCAAAATCTACAATTGTAGATATGGCCAACAAAAAAGGATTTAAAGGCGTCAACTGGCCACCACGCCAAACACAACGGAGGGGTCAGATCATTTTTATCGGGCACCGCAACACAACAGCTAATTTTGGCCAGGTCAACAGCCATAACAACAATTTTCGGCCACATTATTAAGGAAAATGACAATGTCAATAAATTGTTTTTATGTTAGAGTGTAAATTTAAAAAATGTTGTGTTAATTTCTTCTCTGTGAGAGCAAAACTAAGAATATGTTGTGAGTGAGCAAGTGTAAGTGGAATACGGGTCCCTTTATAATTCAGTTTAAATTTAGGATAAAAATGGTCAAGGATGGGTGGGCAAAGTGGAGGAGCAGATTCCATGAAGCTCCTGTGTCATGGTTTTATGTTGTGTTTGTATTCGTCTTTGTCTTGTATTGATCCAAATTTCCTTTGTGTGTTCATTCCCTAGGGTTGATGGTGGCAGGGTTAAAAACCCCCTTGAAAAAAACGCTCCCTCCTAAGCTAGTGTGGAACCCCACCATAACGCTGCATTAGGCCGAATGTAACATGTTGGCGACCCAAACCCAGCCTAGAGCAATTTGATGAAACTGTATTGAATACGTTGACCAAAATATTCGAGGAAAAGGATGAAAAATGCAAACAGTGTGCATTGCAATTGGGTGTAGAACTAATTAGGCTATGTGACGGCTGGAGGATATTTGTTGCGTTTGTACTCAAGAATGAGTACAACACCTTAGTGCTAGAAGACACAATTAAAAAGGTCCTGAAGAAACTGCAACCATTACATTAAAACATTAATCTGTAAATTTTTGACAGACATCCCGTCCAAGCAAAGTATATAGACCAATACCCTGAGGGAAGAACAATGAATGTGAATTTTCCTTCCTATTTTGAAGATGGCATTCGGATCATTTATGACATTACCCACCTCCTTATTAATATTATAAATGTTTTTTTTTTTTTTTTTTTGAAAATACCATACATATTAAGAGCAATCTGGGAAGACAAAGAGACCTTGCATCAACCATATTTCTTAAACAAGTCTTTGATTTGGATTCAGAGCTGGATGAAGACGAAAAAATGGCTAAAAACGCAATTTTGTCTAAGTTATTACAAAAAGTACAACTACCAAACTTCTCCCTTTGAACGAGTAGCTGCGATCTACAACCATGACGTGCTTTCCGCATTATAGAACATCTCTGTTCAAGATGATGAGCAGAATAGTTTGACAGCTATAAGAAGTGTTATCGCTGCCATAGCACCACTTGTGACCATTTGTTTAAAAAATCTAAGCAATGATAAAGTGCGAGATTTGATTGCGGAAGCCGAATATTTTTTACAATTTTTTGATTGCGACAACCAAAAACTTCTCAGAGCACTAAAAGTTACTTTACTAACCTTTACATTGCTTTAATCGAGTCTCTGTTAGGAATTGCTTAAATGACTTGATAAAGTGACTTCGTGTAAATAAGAAAGTGTTTTTGTAAAAGGCCTTCATATAGAAGCTTGTGTGATTTTTGGTCTAGATCAGAATGCGTGATTGCCCTAACCGGATCCCTTGACCGCAAGCATTTTTGATCTGAAAGAAGTTGTAACACTTAGGTAACAAACATTCAATGTAGCTTTCTTATGGTGATTTTATAAGGTTTGAAGAAGATCTTTAAAATCTACAACTATCTACATCATTTAATTTTACCTTATGAAATCACATTGCTTCGTTATATTCAAACAATTTCATCAATTAATAAATATTATTATCTTTATCGAATTACAGGAGTTTTGGAGAAACTGAAATTCCTCTTTTTATCCATATCCATAGGAAGGAAAAACATTCATGCTTCGAGCTAGAAGTGCATCAATAAGTTTTGTTCAATTCGATTTGCAAAACAGTCTATATGGATGCTGATGTTGAATCAATTTTAGCCCCGTCAGGCGATGGATTTTTCGAAAAAAAACTACCAACAATGCAGGTATTCAGGTGAGAGAGACATGATAATTAATTTGTATATAGTATAGAAATTCTCCGCAAAATCCCGATTCCTTTCCCTTGCTCACGAAGGCTAGCTTCAGAAACAAAACAAAAACAGCTGTTATTGGATAAGTACCGGTGATATCCGATGAGGTAGTAGCAACAGTCCAGCTGTTTGTACAATTTACTTTCAAGCAATGTTGTCAATCTGTCTTTAAAACTTTAAATCGTTCATATATTTTTTTCATTTCCTTAGTTTTTTATTTTTTTAAGGGGCAACACAATGTAGATGTGCCTTGGGGCAACAGAAGTAAAAATATTTTATTATCCAGCTAAATTTTATTTTTATTTGATTTATATTTATTTATCCAGCTAAAATTTATTTTTTATTGATTTATTATATTTTCACTATTAATATTTCAAAACAAATCAGTAACTCATTTTGGCCCGACTGTATGAAGCAATCAGATTATTTTTGTCCGAAAACTTGTTATCATTTCAAGCTGCATGGGAATTAAAAAGAAGCAGAATAGGAGATTCGTCTGTCATATAACTGGAAGCCATCATCATCTGGATTCTTGTTTTCGATTCACCAGAATTAGAGTACCCCCAACAAACAATTCGTTAAATTTCTGGAACGAAAAACTATAATTGTTAGCCGATACAATGTCTTGGGGTGAAACTTTGAACTATTTAACTCTTGGAAATCCCATCAGTCAAGCTGTAATCAATTCAGCTTCAGCCGTTCTTAAGGGTTCTGTATGTTTGTCCCGTGTATTTTGTTGCTCTGTTCTTTTTATGTAATAATTCTCCTTTACTTTGATTAACAATAGGGACTGAAACCAAAACAAGCCATACAGGATGTTGTCGTAGCTCCACCAAAACCATTGAATTTGTGGGAAATTGCTGGTAGCAATTATCACTTTGTTCGTTTAGCCGGTTTAAGCGGTGCAACTGCCGTTATAATGGGTGCATATGGAAAACATTATTTGGTCAAGATTATCGATGCCCAAGAACAAATGGAATCAAAGGCCGTGTTCGAGACTGCTAATCGTTTTCATTTCCTGCATTCATTTGCACTTTTAGCAATGCCACTGGCCCGACGTCCGGTATTGGTAAGTTGAATGTAATTGCTAATAACCATAAAAATGTTGGTGCAAAAGGTACAATTAAGGGGACCCCCATTCCCGGTTTTAAAAGAAATTATTATTTTTTTTATTTAATTGGAACCTGAACTAATTCGAGATTCTCCGTATTCAAATGAAAATCTCAACAACTGCTGAAGATATAGGCGATTTATTATATCAGCATCAAGCGACGGATGAAGTGCTTTTTAAACTTAAAATGTGTCTTAGGATAAATGTGACTGATCAAGATCATCCTTATTTTCTAGCTTGGATTATGGTCAAAAATAGGGTATTTTCCAAGTTAGGTTAGGTTTGGGGATGTGCAGTCACATGTGTGACTGCAACACTCTGAGACCGGTTAGGTCCGTTGTGATCATCCACAAGAAAAGATACAGTGAAGAGAAGAGACCAAGAAGACAGATCTGTAGGGAAGAGAAGAGTAGTAAATTAAAGGGGGTGGAGAAAGATTGAAGGTCGATGGTCCTATGAGTCAGACAGAAAAAAGCATTACGTGCCAAGGTTATGTGCTCCTAACCATTTTATGTTTTTAATTATGCTGTAGATTAGAGCAGGTTCGGTTGATGAGAAGAAACTGAGAGACGGAAGAGTATGAGCACCCATTAGTCTGTGTCGCCTGTAAGCCAAGGCTGGGCAGTGACACAGGAGATGCTCAATTGTCTCCGTCTCCTCCTCGTCAACACAGAGTCTGCAGTAATCAGTTGCATCAAGATCCCATTTACTAGTAAGGGCCCTGATGTTGCAGTGACCAGTGATAATTCCCGTCATCACTCTAATTTCAGCTTTGTTCAGGTTCAATAGTGAGTGCGTTCTTTTAGTAGACAGAGTCGGCCAGATTGATCTTGACACGTTGCACCTAGGTTCGTTGTGCCAAAGTTCGCGGGCTGTTTCGTCAAAGAATGCCTCAAAGTTTCTATAGAAAAGACATATGGGTGGTTTAAGTGAGTCATCAGTTTCTAGATCGGTGGATTGAGATCCTCGTCTAGCTAGTTCGTCCGCTCTTTCATTACCCAAGATGTCACAATGTCCTGGTACCCAACACAACCGATAGCTATGGTTAAGTTCTTCCAGAGCTGTTCTACACTTGAGGACGGCTTCGGATTTGATGTAGCAAGATTTGATGGCTTTAAGAGCCGCTTGACTATCCACAAAGATAGTCACCGGTTCAACGACCTCAGCATCCAGGTTTTTTATCAATTCCGCTGCCTTCCAGATCGCGAAGATTTCAGCTTGGAAAACACTACAATTACTATCCAGCTTGTAGGTCAACTCAAGGCCTAGCCTTTCACAGTAGACGCCTGCCCCAGTACCTTCTTCCATCTTGGATCCGTCTGTATAGAAGGCCAGACCGTCCAGAGGAGGGTTACTTCTTTTCCAGTCGTCTCTACTAGGGATAACGACATCTACATCGTCGAATCTAAGGATTGGTGATATATAGTCGCTTAGTTTAGCACGTTGGTCCAATGCTATACCTGGTTCGTTTAGAACACTACTATGTCCAAAGGTACAGTTCCGCCAGAGTTTTTGTTCGTGTAGCCTTAAGGCGCTACGCGCAGCCTGACACTTAATGCTGAGGCCCAGGGGCTTGAAGTACAGCATTGCGTTCAGAGCTGCTTGTGGCGTACTCCTTCTGGCTCCTGTAACTAAAATTGCGGCAGCTCTTTGTACCTTGTCTAGTTTACTAGATGTCGACTTGAGGCTCAGACAATTCCACCAAACAAGAGAGCCATAGGACAAGATGGGCTTCACCACAGTGTTATACAACCAGTGTATAGTCGATGGTTTAAGCCCCCAGCTTTTCCCAATAGAGTTCTTGCATGCATAGAGTGCAATCATTCCTCTCTTCGCCCGCTCCTCAACGTTCCTTTTCCATCGTAGTTGACAGTCCAGGATTGTGCCGAGGTACTTTGCTTCGGGAGATAGGTGAAGTTGCACCCCATCCAATGTTGGTGGAACAAAGACACCGAGCTTACGCTTCCTAGTAAACATTACCAGTTCCGTCTTCGTTGGATTTACACCAAGACCATTTGCCTTGGCCCAGCGTGACAGCGTCAGTAAGGCCCTTTGCATAAGCTCAGAGATTGTAGACGGAAATTTTCCGGAAATCAATATCACAACGTCGTCCGCGTAAGCTACAACTTTGATACATTCCCCGTCCAATTCCCTCAAAATGATATTAATTACCAGTAGCCATAGTAACGGTGAAAGCACCCCTCCTTGAGGCGTGCCTCTAGTTACTGTTTTCCTGATTCTTGTATCCCCCACACTTGAATTTATAATTCTGCTGTTAAGCATTTTATTTATCCAATATGTCAGAGTATCAGGAATGCCGACTTCCCTGAGTGAGTGGTTTATGGATTCAAGTTTAACGTTGTTGAAGGCTCCCTCTATATCTAAGAAGGCGGCCAGCGTAAAATTTGAGTTTTCCATGTTCCTCTCAATATATCCCACCACTTCGTGCAGTGCAGATTCCACAGACTTGCCCTTTATGTATGCGTGTTGTGAGTTGCTGAGAGAAGTGGTGTCAATACGACTCCTTATCTCCAGGTCGATCAGTCTTTCGAGAGTCTTGAGGAGAAAGGATGATAGGCTAATGGGTCTATAGTCTTTTGGTGCAGAGTGGCTTGGTTTCCCTGCTTTGGGAATATAAGTGACCTTTACCTCGTTCCATAGATCCGGAACACACGAGAGTGTCAGACACGCAGTGTAAATCTTCTCAAGGATCAGATAAATACTTGGCGAGGCATATTGAAGCATCGCCGGAAGAATACCATCCGGTCCTGGCGATTTATACGGCTTAAATGTGTTGACCGCCCATCGTATCTTATTTCTGTTAACCACCCTGCTAATGAGATCCAGATCCGGGGTGGCAAAAGGCCGAGTGTCATCACGATCACCGTCGATGGTACCCATGTCTTTGCAACCCGGGAAATGAGTCTCGGCTAGGAGATTAAGAGTCTCAGAACCTGAGTCCGTCCACGCTCCATCTTGCTTCTTAATACTACCGATGGACTTCGGGTCCTTGGATAGTAGTTTTCGAAACCTAGCAGCGTCGTTGACCCCTTCTATCGACTCACAGAAATTTACCCATGACTTTTTCTTCGCGCGTTTTATCTCACTCTTGTATTTATTGAAACTAACTCTGTAGGAGTTCCAATCAGTGTCGAGTTTAGACTTATGCGCCCTGTTATACAGTCGTCTGGTCGCTTTCCTGAGCTCACCAAGTTCCTTGTTCCACCACACTGGCCGAGATTTCTTCCCAGGATGTGTGAGCGGACAGGATTCCTTATGGCAACATAAGAGAACGTCCGTTAGATTTTTCACGGCCCCGTTGAGTTCCACAGCTGTTCCTAAGTTTGTGTTAAGAGTCAGCTGGGAGTTCGTTAGCCCCGTGAATTTCTCCCAGTTTGTTCTCCTTGGATTCCGATAAGGCTGTTGTCTATCTCCGTCAAAAGAGTATTCGAAGAGAATCTTTAAATGATCCGAGAAGGAACATTCATCAGATACCCTCCAGTTCCTGATGACGGAGTCGTCTAGATTTGAGAGGGTTAAGTCAATGACCTCCTCTCTACCCCTAACTTTAAAAGTCGGATCACTACCCATATTACATATACGTAAATCATAGGATAAAATGAAATCAAAAACGGACTCACCTCGTATGTTTGTGTCCTTGCTACCCCATTGAAAATGGTGAGCATTTGCGTCGCATCCTAAGATAACATTGCAGGTGCTCGTCATTTCATCGAGCATCTTCCGTACACATGTGCCTGGTGGGTCCCTCTCCTCAAAGGGCATATAGACTGAGGAGAGCAGGGTGGCCTTCCCCGTCTTGTGCTCCAGCCTCACAGTGCACATGTCACCATTGCTGTAATTAGACAGAAAGATTAAATTTAAGCTCTTCCTACCTACTATGCATGTTCTCACCTTGTCCCCCGTGGACGTGGCGAAGATATCAAAGTTGGCATTCCTTAGTCCAGAAACCATATTTTTATAAATATATGGCTCCTGAACTAAGGCAATGTCCACTTCCGAGTTCGTGAGGGACAGGAGTAGTTCGGCGGCTGCGGCCTTGCAATGATGTAGATTGATCTGCATTATGCGCAGCCTATGCCGCTTCCCCACTCCTACTGAGTTTCGGTGGATGTGTTCAGTCGAAACCGAACCCATCCTGAACCGAAGTTCAGTTTCCCCTCACGCTCCCTGAGATACTTCTCCCCTGGTGGGTCAACCGCCACTCTCGCCACCATACCACCATCCTCGTTACAGGGAGTTAGATTGACCACAATCCAACTCGATGTAGTGAGGCTGGGGTTTTGTAGCGCCAGCATCTTCAGCAAGAGCTCCTTATCCACAGAAGGTGGGGGAACCCAGGCCGAAAGGATCCGTCTTGTCGGGATTTCTGCTAGGGAGACCGCTGCAAGGTTAGCTCCTTCTCAGAGCGCGCCAAAGCCACTAACGGTTTCCACAAGGAAATCCTTGGATTTTTTGTTTAAACAGTTAATGACTTTGGCGCCCTTCTGCATGAAGGCACTACCAAACTGTCGGTCCCCTTGGTCCGTCCCGCAGACGATAGCCGACCGAAGGGCTCCTTCAAACAGCAACCAATGACTCTCACTGATTCTACCCTGAGGATCAGCTTTGTCTATGATTGCCACAAGAAGGTCTTCATCGGTGGCTACCTTAGTTGGTCTTTCATACGGCTTACGTTGTTGACTACGAGCCTTGGAGGTCGCCTTTCCAGAGGAGGTTGAAGCCTTCTCCGTACTCGGTCGTTTCTCTGCAGTTTGTAGTCCAACACAAGCCGCATAAGAGGTAGATGGATCTACCAGACGAGAAGTCATCGTCTTCTTGGGTGAGGGTTGAGGACCCTCCGAGGAGCGGATACGCTTCACAGATTTATTCTGTGGGGCGACATCTGCTCTCCCAGGAGACGATGGTTCCTTCGCTGGTTTTCCCTTCTTCCTTTTTCGACCATTTTTGGATCCAGCCAGCGCCTTTGCCTCCCCCTTGTCGTTAGGCGCAGAATCGGGTTTTGACACAGAGCCCTCTGCAGGTTGATCACCCTTATGGGTGACATTCTGTTTGGGGATACTCTCAGAAACCTTTTCCTGTGCTTTCTTACTCGGGTTCGGATCAGCACTGGGCTTCGGGTCAGAAATCGGCTTAGCACCTTTGTCAGAGACAGTGGGCTTCGCCGATTCTACTACTTTTGTGCGAGCAGTGTTATTTGGGAGGGAGATCTTGTCCATCTCGAGTTCACGATGGAGAGCGTGAGGGTAAATTCTCTCGAATTTCCTCACAAATCTCATCTTACCCTTGATGAGGTGAACCTCCCTCTCCGAGATCAAATTCGCGTCTCGCCCCACGAATTTGCGAAGATACGAAACAGCACGTTTGTAGTGCTTCGCATCCGTCACTTCTCGGGCCTTCCCAACCTTCGAGCCACTGTCCGTTTCCGGGGGATCAACAGATTCCCCATCGGACATCACCTCTGTAGCGGATTGCCTCTGAAGTCTGTCGGCAGGTGCCGACACAGGACCTGTTGAAGACAGACTGGAGGTCGGTTGGACAATAGGGTCCACGTTTCCTTCGTTGCTGCTATGGCCATCCCCCTGTGTAGACTTGGCTGGGATCACCGTGGTGTCCAGCTCATCATCAGTTAGGGTAAGATTTAGTAGCAGCTCCTCCGGAAGCGTGTCCCCACATTGCTCTTCCGGTACCAGTTTGTCTAGCTGGTCGAAAGAGTTCCTTACTTTGTTCCTCTAGACTATCGCGGATAGCGCGTAGAGTCCCGTGTAGGTCGTCCCCTCCCAGAACTGCAGTCCTGTCAGCCAAGGACTGATTTTCATCAGTCTTGACATTATCGTTAGCCAAGTGAATTGCCGGTTCGTCAACGTTTTGTTTTGGAATTGATGCACTTGTAGCAGATACGGCTGTAGGTACCAAGGCATCCACACCTAGAACAGCCGGATCACAATCGCTTGATCTCGACGACACGTGGCTTGTGACCTCACCAACGATTGCCGCCGGTACTGGGTTATTAACTCCCTGCACCGTAACTTTATTCTTTTTACTGCGTTTTCCCATCTTAGTTAATTTAAGGGCACTACCCCGATCCATTTTGGTCCACGGGGGATCCGAAGATCCCCAGGGTTTCCACAAGGCACAGAGAGAAGTTGATCTAGGAGACCTAGGTCAGTTTCTCTCCGCACATCATGGAGACCCCCTTCCCATCCGCCACCCGGGAAGACGCGCCTAGTAGGAGATTGGCAACTCCCCTAGGGGTTAATTTGGCTTAACTTCTTACGCGAAGTAGGAATTCATTCAATCAAGAATTCTCACACAGCACTTTTCGGGTAGTTACTTGTGAACTTCCGAATGAACTTGAGATTCTGAATGATTAGGAAAAAGTTTATCGCCTTCCGATTGATCTCCTTGCTGGATGCTTCCTTGGCACAATCAATGATTGGTTGTGCTGATGAATCTTCCATTGTTCCAATAGAAGATCTTCTTGGTGTTCGGATTAATAATAGTAGTCTGTAATGCGACAAAGAAGTATACAAAAAATAACGGTTTTTATCCAGTTCCCTAACTAATACCAAAAACTATTGATGTCGTCCTTCGCTAAAACTGCAACATCAGATAGTCGACATAAGACGATATTTTGATATGATTTATAAAATATTTCGAAATGTTATAAACTCTAGGGCCAAAAGACATTAGGTATGTCTGTGTACTTTTCTTTCGTGAGAATAAAAATACAATATTTTGTACAAATTTTAAGCCCCGTACCTAAATTCAGTGCGTTGCGTACTAAAATACCCACTTTCTCACCTTTATTAGGTTTGCTGAACGTCCGTATTAACCAAATACGTCATGGTATAATATAATATAATATATATATAATAGAAGGTAACAGCAAGTGTTGTACAAAAAACGATACAACAACCACATGGAAATTTGTTGTTGTAAGTTCTACTAGTGTCAACTCATTTGGCAGAAAAATGTAAATAAACAAACAAATTATCATCAAATTATTTTTATTTTGAAAATGAAATATTTTCGAATCCTCAAAATAAAAATTGAAAAATATGAATGAAAATCTATCAAATTTATATTTCTATCTATTCCACATCTTTCCTATAATTGAGCCATTGCCATATATATGTGTAACACATATGAAAATGCTGGGAATAGCGAGTTATTCCTTGAAGAAAGATTTGCTTCCTCAAACTTTCCCAGCTGGCAGATTGAGTAAATTGAATACAGGAGCACATTTAATAAAGAACAATTTTAAATTGTATGCGTTCCCAATTTTCCTGTTGGGTGATTTTTAAAAACATAATTTGTCAAATTCATATTGACACTAGTATAACGTTGGAATCAATCAGCTGGGATTTGCTGTTACCTTTTATAATTGTACCATGCAAATACGTAAGGACCTTATTTACTTGTGTGTCAATTGAAAACGGCGAAAATGGATGAAAACATTTTCTTAATTAACCGAAAATTTTTTACATTTATAGAAATACGATTTTTTTCAATGAATGGAATTATATTTTCAAAAAACAAAAAATTTAAAATACGCATTGTCAATGTTTAAAATTTTCAACTTTAATAATTTAGAGATGGTTGATCGAGCTTGAGGTCAATGTTTTGTATTTATTTATTATTTTCCAATATTTCGAAATTCGTTGAATTTCATCTTCAGGGAAGTTAATTTTTAAATAACAAACACGGTCAAAAATTATTATTGCACTCTTTTGACCGTGGTAGTCACACTACGCCAGTTTTAAGCTACTTATTTAATGTTTGTTATTTAAAAATTAACTTCCCTGAAGATGAAATTCAACGAATTTCAAAATATTGGAAAATAAGAAATAAATACAAAACATTGACCTCAAGCTCAATCAACCATCTCTAATTTATTAAAAATCCGAAAGGTCAAAAAATCATAAACATAATTATTTTCAACTTTATATTTTTATACGCATTGCGTATTTGGGTAACATTCATTGAAATACATGTATTTAACTTTTGAGATGAATAAAATCGTACGCATACGCATGAATTTAGGTACGACCCTAAAATTTGTCGAAGAATACATGAATTGCTTGTTTTTTGCTTGTACAAAACTTTACTCAATATTTTTTCCCTGTAAGATTTTTCAAAAGTCAGTAAAACAAAATTCAAAACACGCAGACAGATTTATTGTACAGAAATAATGAATTACAACACACACTGTTTTATGAATATCAATAAATTCATGTTATTGGGGAGCATTATTGTTATTTTTTATTAAACATAAGTAAAATGCGTACATACATATGTGCTCAGTTTTACATTTTTTTTTTGTAATTGATATGGGTATTCTATTGATTTGCAACCTTTCTTCTAATATTCTTAAATTATTGTACAAAAATGTTTCAATCGTTTGGATAATTTATTGTTGTGTGTTAAATATTACGTTTTGTTTTTGGTTCAAAAATAAAGTATTTTTCCATTGTGCTACTTGCTACTCCCTAATGATGACTACTTATAACTAAATGAATTGGTTTTATTTTTGTTTTTGTTAGAATTCTCTGTTTGTTTCATCGTAACATTCATAATTGACATAATTTTTTATTAGTTTTGTTTTTTTTTTGTAAAATAAAGTTTTAGGTTTTAAACCCCCTAAATTGATTTCCAGAGGCAGTTCTAGTTTCTGTAGGTGTAGTGCAGAAGCGTAGAAAAAACTTCAAAACTTCTTATAGAATTTTATTATTAATTAATTAAAAATCCTGGGGGTTTAATTCCTTTGCTTTGCCAATAAATTAAAAATTCCATTTATGCTTTGTATGTATAGAGAACACATTTTGTTTTTTTTTTGTTTTGCTTAAGTAACTAGTTTGTTTTTTAGTAAATAATTGTTTTCAATTCGTTAGCTAATAACAACCACTATATGGAGTTTAGTTTTTCCATTTGTTACTTATTTCTGTTTTTTTTTTTGTTTTCATAGGCAAGAGGTTTTTTTTTAATTACAAAAAAATATATATTATTATTTTGCGTTTTGTTTTTATTTTAGAATCTTGTTACAACATTAAATGCATTATTATTTTTTATTTATTTAATAAATTTTATTATCAACTATAAAATGGGAAGAGGTTTCAGGTTTGGGTTGTAATTTAAGCTTTTTTTAATTTAGAATTTTTGTGATTTTTTTATTTTGATATTCTCCATGTTTTTTTTTTTATTTGGTAGTAAAAGCTCTAGTTTTATATTAGTCACTTGAATTAGTTCTATGCTTAAGAAATAATAATTAATATTTCTTTTTGTTTTCCTTTCTTCCAGACTGGATCATTGATGGCAGCTGGTACCATATTGTTCAGTGGACCCATGTATTATAGGGCTTTGACCGGTGACAGAACCTTCATACAAGTTGCCACCTGTGGTGGCTTTTGTTTAATTGCTGCCTGGTTATCATTAATATTTTAAAATATCAACTTTAGATTTTCTATTAAACTAATGTCTGCTACATAACACTCATACACGAGAAAGAATAAAACAGAAAAAGAATATCTTTATCAGATAAATAATATAAGCGATATATCGTAATGTTAATATGAAAAAAAGAAATATTTGTTAATTATATTGATGTAATAAAAACAATCGACAACACCTTCTGTGTTATACTAATGTCTATTTTTAATGAAATGTATAAATTATTATTCCTTCTTTTTTAAATTTTAAGTTTTGTAAATTATTCGATTTTCTCCTTCTTTGTTTTTATTGTATTTAACATTTAGTTGTAATTATTTTTTATTATCTTTCTTTTTTTTGTTCATATATGTTCTAAGTTATTTATGTATTTATATGTATATATAGGCGTTTTCCTCCTCAGTTCAAATGTAATTTTAATAAAAAAATCTCTCCAAAGAAAATATTAGCAATTGGTTAATTTAAGATTGAAATTTGTATTGAAAATAAATCAATAAAAAATTAAATTAAAATCTAGCAACATTAATTTTATTTTTGGAGTTAAATTTTACCATTCAATATAAAAATTCTATTGTGGGTTAGAAGAAAAATAAAATGCTTCGACTATGATTGGAATTTCATTCCCCTTTGTCACTTTTTGACCTTGACTTCTTTGCGGTAGTTTCTTGCTCCTACGACGAGTACAGCCATTTGCTGTGAGGGATGGTTAGTCGCCAATGGGGTTGCCTTGTTCTGGGTTTAGTCCTTTCTTGGGCGCCATCATTCGCGAGGTCGGTATCAGGATCGATCGATCAAAAGCTAATTCCTCATGAACGTTTTTATGAAGACACATCAATTACCGCGATCTCAACAGTATCATCTGTCAAGGATTAATTTCTGATAGGTTTTCGGGAATGTTTCTGACTCAAACGGAAATATCCACTTGTTCTCCATTATGTTGAGGAGCGAATTCATGAGCCTTGCAAGAAAATAATGGAAGTACTTCAACGAGGTTTGAAAGCTCGTTCCTCGGAGTCTCTCTTGTAATAAGGAAAAATACTCAAAAAATATTCTTGTAACTGAAGTTAGACCGCTGGTGGTTATGCCGAATTCACATTTCTTTTCAGAATATTTAAATGGTGCGAATTTCAAAAGGAAGCTATAAAATGGTAAATCTAAAGTTATTTCTTATCTTAATTCCACGGAAATTCACTCCAATGTCTACACATGACTTCACTGGCCACAAGTTATTTTTAAAAATTAATTTTTTTATTGAAAATAACCAGAATAATCAAATATCTTTTTGATAATAATAAGGAATAATAAACTTGATTATAATGTTATAAAAAATAAAAACAAATTAAAAGCAATAATTTCCAGGCATGAAAATAAATAATTATTTTATTTATTAAATTATATAAAAAACTAAAAATCACAAAAATATAATAATAAAAAGTTGAAGTTGTAAAATATTGTCGTTTCATTTGGAACACACACTATGTGCTGTGGTTTCTTGTTTTTTTTTTGTTTTACATTATAGTTATAATACAATACTTTGTTGTTTTATCTTCTTCTTCTAATTTTACACATAAGTACAATTTTCAAATACATACTAATAATTAGTTTTTATATAGACCTATGTGAATATATAAAATGCATCCTTCAAGGATAAATAAATAGAATTATCATTTCATTTGTTTTTTCATATTTACATACATATACACCTTGTTATACATATATAAATAATTATTATTATTGCACAGTATAAAAATAATATGCATATGGATTTGACGTTATGTTTTTTTTTTGCCCTAACATCATCTTGAGTTACATATAAATTTTGATATAATTTCATTTTTTTTTGTAATTAGGTATGTGTAAATATGTTTCCTTCAATTTATATGTTTTTTACAGTTATATGTTTTTGTGTTTTTTGTAGTTTTTTTAGTTACTATGTTTTACAATCATTTGAATAATGATAATTATTGTCTTACAAATGTTTTGAATCAAAATAGAATAAAAATAAAAATCAAATCTTTCAACAAAAGCGTGTTAGTTTATATGAATGCCATCGTTGTAAAGATGTTCGTTTCTATAGAAATGAATATTTTTTTTTGTTTTTTTACAAATATGAAACGTCTTTTTGTCTTATATATTTAAATATGTATGTATATAAATAGATCAACTACTTTTTGTTTCTACTACAATTTATGTTGTACATGAAGTTTCCAGTTTTGATATACCATTGTGAATTATGATTTTGTTTTTTTATTTTAATTTTTTTAAATAAGATGTTGCTACAAATTTCAATCTGTCTGGGGTTTGAAGATTTAAATTTAATTTAAAGAAGTGTGGTGAAACATGATCATATCTTATGTAGACCTTACAACTCACAATTGTCTTCTTTCAACAGGGACATTGCACGTAACATTCCCTCATATAAAACTAAGAATGTGCCCCGGGACCAAATTGATGCTTTGCTTTCTTTTGTGATGTAATATTAAAAACGGTGATCATTAAATATTATCCAGATATTTGTATGTACCCTAAATATTTTGAAAATTGTAGCATCATGTCATTAATATTTCAATCAAAATTTTTGGTGGTACGATGGTGAAACGATTATGGCTAGGGATAAACTGAATGTTAGCCTAAGAATTTTGGTTTTGTTGCATTTTCAAAAAACAGTGTCTTTTGTATTTTAGCATTTGCCGGATGATTTGTTATGGGCTCTAATATTTTTAATATATAATCCTTAAATACTTTGGGTACTTGAACGAAATGTCAAGGATCTTTTTTGGCCTTTAAGTTCTCCTCATGGGCCTGAAAAAAATAAAACAACATGTTACTATTTATAAAAATTAAAAATCCCAGAATTTGACTCACCTTTTGTGCAACTTTCAATAGACTATCAAAGGTGGAAATGCCAGTTTGTTTGACCATCCCATAAAATACATTTGTTTTACTCTGTGTCAACAACTCAAATGGTGAACCAAATTCTACAGCTCTGCCGGCATCCATTACAAGAACTTTATCCGAATCCATGACGGTGTGTAAACGGTGAGCTATTGTCAGAACGGTGCAGTGTCTAAATTTATTACGTATGGTGGTTTGAATTAAGGCATCTGTTTGTGGATCTACATTGGCAGTGGCTTCATCCATTACTAAAATACGATTTTCTCTTAAAATGGCACGGGCTAGACAGACCAGCTGTCGTTGGCCAACAGAGAAATTGGTACCACCTTCAGATATTTTACTTTGTAATCCACTGGGTAATTCACTGACAACATCTTTTAGTTTGACCTGATCAAAAACAAAACATTTCCATCAATAGATATGTTACGTCAAAATTTCAAACATTTCAACTCACCTCCTCTAACGCTTTCCACAGTTTAGCATCTGCATATTCATCAAATGGATCTAAATTGTAACGCATTGTTCCCGAAAACAGCACAGGCTCTTGGGGTATAATTGATATTTTGCTACGCAAATCGTGCAGACCCAATTCCTTGGTATCACGTTTATCAATGATCACCGAACCATCGTTGTACGACAAACGGAATAAGGCATTAATAAGCGATGATTTACCCGCTCCTGTACGTCCCACAATGCCGATTTTTTCCCTTGCTTGTATGGAAATATTTAGATTTTTCAATACCGTTTCCGCCTTGGGATCAGGGAAATAACGCAAACTTAAATTATCGAAAACTATTTGACCATCTTCGGGCCATGTCTTGGGTGGTTTCTTATTCGGTGGCGATTCCATTTCACCTTCTGGCTCCAGATCTTCATACTCGATGACACGTTCAACAGCTGTCATGTTATTTTCCAATTCGGCAGATTGACGCATACCCCATTGAACCATACCGGTCATACCCATGGCTTGGGTAATGGCTAAACCCACATCGCCACCATTTTTCGGTGAGAAGAGGAAGAAACTTAATGTGATGATGGCAATGTAGAGGACACAGCAGCAATCGAGCCAATAACCAAAGGCACGACTTGTCGACAAGAACATGTAATAGCCGGAACTGTGGAGATCCTGATAATTATCAAATTCCTCGATTAAAATTTGTTGAGCTCCAAATGCTCGAATGGTGGAGAGGCCATTCAAGGAGGCACCCAAATGTGAGTAAATAGGGGAACGGGCTGGAAAAAAATAATCCCGTTAATTAATATAACCAAAAAACAAAACAAAAAAAAAAACAAAAACATACTTATTGCCTCCAGACGCTTAACATCTCTCGACGTGTTCAAATAGAAGGAACGCATAAAATAGAAAATAACAGCCAACAAGGCTGTGGCCAACAGATACCATGGGTTCACAATACACAGGACCACAACAATACCCAAAATGGCCAAAAAGATTTGTATGACATCCATCATTACACCGGGCAATATTTCATCGACTTGACCCAAATCCTTGGCAAAACGATTTAGAATACGACCTGCAGGATTTGTATTGAAGAAATACATTGAGGCTCGCGTGACACCATTGAACATGGTGTTGTGCAAATTGGTGGAGGATCGTTTGGCCAACGTAAAGAAGAGCAGGGAACGTAGCAGAGCAAATACGATAACCGAAACATTAATGCCAGTGAAAATGTAAAGGTCAACAGGATCTGAGTTGTTGTCCAAGCGTCTTTCGGGTCGGCGATAATAGTCGGTAACCGTACTTTGGGTTTGTCCATTTTTGTTGACCCTACAAAGCAGAAGTAAACAATTAAAATCCATTCAAACTTAGAAAATCTGTCGTCTTACCAATACGACAAGAAATAATCTCCTCCTGAGGCCAGAACTTGAGCTCCAATACAAAAGAATGCCATAATTGCAAACAGGAAATATCCTCCACTTGCTCCGAAGTATTTCTTATAAAGTTTCAAACCGATTTTACCCTCTTCGCGGGTTTCCTGAACCTGTTTGGGTGCATCGCCTTGTGCAGATTCAGCCACAGAACCCATCGATGACACACTGTCTTGTCGCGAACGCATTTTACTGTTTTGTCGTGACAGTGCCTGTCTTTCTGATACATCACCATTTGTTCCCTTTACACTTCCCGTATCTTCACTCTTATCAGCTTGCATTAAAAGTTTGGAGAATTCCAAACCACTTTTACGCATCGACTCAAATGTTCCCGTGGCACTTACTCTACCCTTGTCCATGATGACAATAAGATCGGCTTGTTCCAAAAATTGTAGCTGGTGAGTAACCAAAAGGACAATGTCATCGCGTAGGAAACCACGCATACATTGATCAAACAAATGGCGCCCAACATGAGTGTCGACGGCACTCAGCGGATCATCGAGCAGATAGACATCGGCCTTGCGATACACAGCCCTGGCTAAGTTGATACGGGCCTTCTGACCACCAGACAGAGAAGCACCGCGCTCGCCCACAATTGTCTTGTCGCCAAAGGGCAATAACTCAAAATCACGTTCGAGAGCACATTTCTTGACAACTGTGCGATAGCGCTGCCTATCCATTGGTAAACCGAACAAGATATTCTGACGCACCGTACCAGTAAATAGCCAGGGCTCCTGGGAGGCATATGACAATGTGCCGCTTACGTTTACCGAACCCGTTTCGGCAGGAAGTTCACCCAGTATGGCTTGAATTAAACTAGAGGACCAAGAAGTTGAGCACATTTGAATGAAATTGTTAACGAAATAAACACTAACCTTGATTTTCCTGAACCCACTGGCCCAATTACAGCCACCAAGGTACGTGGCTTTATTTTCAAATCGATATTTTCCAAGGTGTATTCCGTTGCCTGTGGATCCCATTTAGCCTTCAATTTGTTAATACTCACACTAGCCTCCACATGATGGGGATGATGATTACCCACAATTGTCATCGGCTTCATAATGCCATTCATGCCAATGGTCTTACCATTTTCCTCGATAATTGCCGTTGGCTGCAATTTATTATTTTCACAATCCACATCCTGTGATCTGTCCCGTACCTTGGTCTCTTCGTGCATCATATACTTTTGGATACGTTTAAACGATACCATTGTCTCGGCAAATTGCGATATACCCATGGGAAAGTAAATGGTCATAGTGTTTCGCAGAATATTGTAAAAAGCCGTAATGATGAATGCCTTCTCGGCCGTCAGCAGTTTTCCTAAAAGTACATAGCCCACCAGACTGGCAAAGACAGATATGCGAGTCAGGAACATAATGAACGATTGCAGAATACCACGAATGTAATTGACGTAGCGAATGGCATTCATCTCCTTGAGACGGGCATATTGGACCATTTTACCAAATGGTATTTCCCAGGCATACATTTTGATCACCTGAATGCCGGATATGATTTCGTTCATCATGCGAACACGTTCATCGGTGCGCAGGGCAGTGCGTAGACGTAAAACTGAAGTCTTTTTGCCTAAGTAGGCTTGTAGCGGCAGAAATAGTATCATAATGGCTACACCGAATAGGGATGAGACGCCAATCTGAAAACAAGGGTACGTAGGGTAAGAAGCGGAGAGTAGAAGTCACGTGTGTAAGAACTTCGTGATAGAAATTGTAAAATATAGGATTCCTCATTCTTATAAACAAAACGTAACTTTGTGAAATATGCGACACAATTTTTATCGATATTTTGAAAAAAAAAATTGGGAATTAGATATTAACCTGTGTCACAAAGTCATTCAGGAATAAATCATATATTTGTGTATCAATATTTTGGAATATTTTTTAAGAGACGAGATGGCGCACAGCAAGTATAAATCCAATATTTTTTGGTATCAATATTTTGGAAAAAGTTAAGAGACGAGATGGCGCCCAACCTTTGTTACAAAGTCATTAAATTATAAATCTTATATTTTTTTATCAAAATTTTGAGGAAAAAATTTTGGGAGACGAGTTGGCGCCCAACCTGTGTTTCAAAGTCATTCAAATATAAATCCTATATTTTTTATCAATATTTTGGAAAAAAAAGTTAACAGACGAGATGGCGCCCAACCTGTGTCACAAAGTTATGCAATTATAAATCCAATTTACCAGTAACGAATATGAGCATTCTGATTAACAGAACGTGGGGAATACAAATTTCCACCATTTTTTAAAATTAATTTCTATATATATTTTTTACAACTTACCTCTCGATACATCAAAAATGTTATAATGATAATTTCAATTGGCCCCAACCACAAATAGTGCATATGTATCATTGATGTATCCAAACGGCCGACATCATTCGATATTAGATTCACCACCTGACCAGACGTGGTATTGCCCAGTGCGGTCTTACTCAGACGTAGCGCCTTACGATATATCATGCTACACATGGCCACGCGTATCTTCATGCCCACGTGAAGTATGCCTAACATGTAAGGATGCATGAACAGGACATTGATGGCACTGCATAGAATCACACCCAGAGCGTATAGATACGCTGTGGATAGATCGCTACTATCATTATTTTCAGGTTTGGCGTAGTACGATACCAGGCCGCCCAAAAATAATGGCTGAGTAACACTGGAAATTGAGAAAAGAGATGTCTTTTAAACAAAAATTCTCCTTTTCTACAAATTTCATGGGTTTTTTGCAAACCATTCGAAATGAGATGGACTTTTAAAATGTTCTAAATTACTCTTTGAAGCCGATCTCATTTTGAATAGTATGCTGAGGATATTAAACATAGTGAGGGGGGTAATTTACCGTAAACCTATTTCTAGAATAAATAAAACAAAACCTAAGGTGGCGAATCGTAAACCGAATACTTTTAGAACCGCCCTCAGAAGACTTGGTTCTTTGTGTTTCATTTGTTTTTTGTTGCATTCCTCCTCCCATGCTTCGGATAGTTTGTGACCCAATGTATCTGAAATAAAAGAAAAGTGATACAATATTATTAAGGATTTTAGGATAAGTGTATCGAGAACAATGTAATAAAAAATTTCAATTGTAATTGTCAGTAGGAATTCATTGCCAACTCTATAGTATAGTACAAAATATATAAATTGGGGTAAGGCCGTTATATAGGGGCTATGCCAAACATAGACCTATATATTTCAAATTTTCGGCATGAAAAGAACTGTTCAAGAGTTCATTAGATTTTCACTTGAAATTTTGTAGGGACATTCTTGAATTAGTGTAGATTCGAAAAACTAAATAAAACTTTTTGACACCGAGAATGGGGGGTCCCCTTAATGTAATAATATTCGTTTCACTCTCACGATTTTTAATAAACAAATATTATAAACGGGGTTGAACGAAACATTCAGTGAAAGGAGAAGCATTATTTGTGATGACGCCATTAAGCTCTCCAAGAAAATACTTTTCCACGAAAAAATATCACTGTCAAAATAAATAAACAAAAATAATAATAACAAACGAAATTGTTTTTAAGTAAGCATGCAGTTTTGTACTACTCGAAGTTGGGTGTGTATTTGTTAAAAAATAATAATATGGCATACAAGCTTTGTTTAATATTGATTTAAGAAAACAATGCCCAATAGAAGAAGCATTCAATGCTAAAATCATTTTGTGTCACTAAATTAAAATTCATACTAGTTGAATATGTCATTTGATTGGGTACTTGATTCGCTGCATGTGGGATTTACAATAATTCAAAATATCCACCCTTTGCGGAAGGTGTACCAGAAGGTACAATCCAATCCCATAGGGTTTAACTTTAATCATAATCCGCATGAAATTAGATATCTGATTTTCTACAAATCTTATGTGAAGGTATCAGAAGAATATCGGTTTGGTAATCGGTATCGGGAAAGGGTATCGGAAGTAATGGCCTTGACCATCCAAGCGTAAATTGACCTACCAATTACATTGGTCTTCAATTACTTAGATCCTATTAAAGTAAATGCGTCCTCTCTAGTATTGTGGTGTATTTAATTACTGTATAGACTGACATGTTGCAAGTCATTTCCATATACCGAAAATGCATGCATATTATAAATGGATAATCCATGTTTGACAGCTTACGGAGCACAGTGTCACGACCGCGGCCAAAAATGGTCAAAACCAAGTACCACGGAGGACAAATTTTTTGATGAGGATTGATAGAAAACACTCCAATTAGAATAAATATGAAATTTTATATCGATATGTCAAGTAGTTTTGACTCTACAAGAGTTCAAATCTGATAAGTATTTATAAACTGATTTTTTACCATATTTTCGAAAAATGGGTGTGTTTTTCTGATGCTCAAATATTTGAATATTCAAATTAACGGTTATTATAAAAGTGTTTGTTTTGGTTGCTGTGGATGTAAATACTAGGATTCGCTTTAGTTTGTATGTATATATATATATCATATTGTGTATATAGTCGTCCACACTTGTGGTACTTAGTTCACCAAATTTTTAAAACAAATTTTGAAATTAGTGGAGCAGAAAAAAAATTTAAAAAAGTTTAGCTCTATTTTTTTATTTGAGTGGTGAAAAGTGTGTCATTTAAGGAATAACAAAAATTAGCTGCGGAGTCCTGCGGTCCTAAGAGTTATTTAACTTTTTTGGTGACCACCTTATTAAAAAATATGGCATATTCATGAAATGGTTAGAAGCGAATGGTCAAATATGTTATGTATACAATTAAATAAGTTATTGAGGATCAAATAGGAAGGAGAATATGTATTCAGAACACAGAGATAATACAAAATTTTACATAAAATATGCAATTAAGTGGTAAAAACGTTATTCGAAGCGAAGATATGGGAGAATTGGTTTTAAAATATAGCTTTTAAATAATTTTTCAGTCAGTTTGAGGATTATACTTATTTTTCGGATCATTTGAGACATAATCTTATAATCTAAATTTAGATGTCGCACATGAATTACCTTTGTGGAAAGTTCATACAGAAAAATATTAGTTCATGGCATGGGATACGCAAAGTGCAGTACAATACCTTTTGAGCGACTTTCACAAGATGCTAACAAGTCATGCCAACAAATAATTTGTAGCAGTCCGAACTTTTGTTAAAGCCGAGTTAAATAAGGATTTTATTTAGTATTTTATATTACAATCCGACCTTTTAATATCCTTAAACAGCCATAAAGTAAAGGCCCGAGATTATAATGTGAATGATAGTAAATCGTACATTTGGGAAGACAATATTATATATATATATATATATATATATCTGATGTGTGTTTTGAAAATTTTGAGAATGATAAACAAGTAATTTATTAGTTACAAAAGGATAATAAATATTTATTATAAGAAAAATAACAAAAATAAAACTACTATACTTAATTTAGCTGCATATAACGATTTTATAGTACAGAAAGTTACATTTTTAGGGACTTTTGGTATAGTAGGTACCTGAAATATGGGCCAACAACTAAATTACAGCACCTATTACTTTCTTCGCCCAAATTTGATGTAATTTGGACGAAGACATGAAAATTTTCCTGGAATTTGGATGAGTATAAAAAAATTATAGGTCCAAAAAGCGGATTTTCAAGACCCTTTGTATGGGAGGTATATCAAATCTTGGCCAATCTACCCAGTTTTTGGTCCGTTGCTTTATAGGCATAAGTAAATGTAAATTGCCAATTTTCATTGAATTTGGTTGAATATTAAAGATTATATAGCCCAAAATATTAAAATTTTCAAGACCCGTTGTATGGGAGGTATATCAAATCTTGGTCCGATCTTCCCAGTTTTTGGTCAGTTGCTTTAGAGGCCTAATTAAATGTAAATTGCCAATTTTCATTGAATTTGTTTGAATATTAAAGATTTTATAGGCCAAAAAGGGTGACATTCTCAAGACCCATTGTATGGGAGGTATACGAAAAATTGGTCCGATCTATCCAATTTTTTGTCAGTTGCTCTTTAGGCAAATAATAAGCACATGTACCAAATTTTATTAACTTACGATAACTCCTTCTATTTTTGGCCGCTGTTTATATGAACTCGCGACATAGTGCGGAGTAAGCCAGTAAAGAAAATGGTACACTATTTTATAGTATACTAGCAAAATACCCGCTCCTTCGTATGCGGAAAAGGAATACAAAAACATATTTCATACGGAAATCGTGAACACTGTATAATTTGTTGTATTATAGTTCTGAATTCCACCTCTATGTCTACATCTAATATGAAGTTTATTACCATTTAGTACTCTTCATACACATAAGCACTATTTTCCGAAATCTCTTTTTTATTTTATTACACAGATTAAAAATAGATCAGATTTTAGCAAATACGTACAGGTCCCGCATTCAGCACTTTTCGAACACATAAGTACACATTTTTAAGACTACCTCCATACCATCACCACCACTAAATTTAGTACCAGTTACTTCCAAAACCCCCTTGGCACTTCTTTCTAACTCTCCGTCAGTGACCGACATTCTAAATTTTAGGTTTCCAGCTCTCTCCGTTACCCAAATCCAAATTTAGTGCATTTTCGTAAGTCCAAATTGAAGAATTCCAGCTCTGTCTGTTCAATTAAAAATAAATTATACAATATTTGGTACCATTCTGTACTTTTCGTACCCATATTCCAAACCTATCTCAAACCTGCTTTCAAATAGCAATCGTAAGTTCAAATTTAAGAACTTCAGCTCTGTCTGTTCTCCAAATTATACCAGATTTGGTACCATTCTGTACTTTTCTTACACTCCCACATTAATCTAATTGGCAACTTTCAGAATTCGAGTTCTAACCGTTCACTCAAGTCGAATTTGTAACAAATTTTATGCTTTTCGTACTCATAAGTACGAATTTCCAAAACTACCTCAGTCATGCACTTCAATAATAACCTTAAGTGCACATCCGTTCACCTACATCCATCCACTTAGTATACATATTTACGCATTTTTAAAACTAGCTCCATGTCTCATCCTACAATCCAATCTTTAAATTTAATTTTGTACACGTATTACCATTTAGTACACATAAGTACTATGCTTCCATATCTCAATTCTATATTCCAACAGCAACCATTATTCCAAATTTTAGGTTTCCAGCTATCTCCGTTCACCCAAAACCAAATTGTACCAAATTTAGTGCCGTTTAGTACTTTTCGTACACAAAAATACGAATTTCCAAAGGTGTGTCTATAGCTCAATCTTCAACAGTAATTTTAATTCCAAATTTCAGGTTTTCAGCTCTATCCTTTCAAGCAAAATCCAAATAGTACTAAATTTAGTACCATATAGAACTTTTCGAACTAGTAAGAACGAATTTCTAAAACTACCTCAATCCTTCACTCCAACAGTCATTCACCTAATTCCTACTTTTTATACACACAAGATTCTAGCTATATATGTTCAATGTATATATAATTAGAACTAAATTTAGTAAAGTTTAGTACTTTTAGTATACTTAAAGGTCGAATTTCCAAAAACTCTTTTGTACATCTTTCTAACAACTGACCCACATGCCAAATTTTAGAATTCTAGCTCTTCCCGTTCGCCTAATACAAAGGGTACCATATTTAGTACTTTTCGTACCCTTTTAGTTCGAATTTCCTTTGATGAATAATTAGTATGATAATTACAACACAAACATCGATAAAATTTGGAAGCTCTAATAGACACATTTATTCTGACTGATGATGTAAGAAAAATAGATCACCGATTAGAATTTTATAGACTATTAATGCATTCAACATAGATCTTCTACTCCTTAATACCGACAATCTAATCAATTTTAATCTGTCAGTATACGATGTCAATTCAAAACTATCATTCCAATGCAAGCCGTGAAGAGTAAAAATTAAGAATCGTTTCTGAACAGATTCAAATTTATGAATATACACAGTATAATAAGGATCCCCAGCAACAGCACAATATTGTAAAATTGGCCTAACAAGAGTTGTATAAAGTTGTTTTGTAACATATGGATCAAAAAGTTCTTTAGACTAACGTTTAATAAAACATAGGATGCCATTAGCTCTATTAACCATAGTAATTACATGGTTATTGAAATTTATTTTTGAATCCATTAGAAGGGTAAATAAATGAGTCAACTGTTGTTAGTAATCTTCCACTAATAGAAAATTGTATATTCAACGGAGCATTTCTATAAAAGCACATATGTTTACATTTTTTTAATTTAGTTCCATATTATTAGGAACACCAATTTGGGAAAGAGTCTAAGTCATCTTGAAGTAGTGTTGACAAACATTCAGATCTATGTGAGATGAAAATTATGGCAGATCATTAATAAATATTAAAAACAGGACGGCACCAAGATGAATACCTTGAGGAGCTCCAGACGGAATAGAAATGTGTAAATTGTATTAGGTTGTTTGAAGTAGAGTGGTCACGGCGGAAACCATGTTGATAAGGGCTCAAAATAGGAAGGACTTTATGAGAAATTATTTCTGTTATAAGCTTCTCAAATAACTTGGGAATATAACTTAATTTGGCTATTCCTCTATAGTTTGATACATCAGATAAGCTACCTGATTTATGTAGGGGTATTAGCAATGATTTCTTCCAAAGGTTGGGAAAATGCCCGAATTTGATTGAATAATTAAATAAAGTGGTTAATGGAATGGATAAGATATTTAAACATAATTTTAGGATATTACTAGGTATGCCATCAGGACCAGGACTATAAGTTGCTTTCAAGCATCGTAAATTATTTAGGACATGGGTAGTATCAAAATAAGGTATACTGATTGGATTAGTAGTGCCAATGAAATAATGATAGGGTGAGTGTAAATTTGATGGCTTAGTGGAATACGTAAAAGCAATCAGCAATCTCTTGGTCATTCACAAATTCGAATACATCAACTTTAAGTGATACCAGTTTTGATGATCATGTTCGTTTTATGTTAACGAAACCATAAAAGGTTTTCGGATTGGATTTGAGTCCAATTTTCACCTTTTCTAAATAGGAGTTATATGCATCACCACATAGAAGAGTAAATCTAGATCTGGATATAGAATCATTTGAGTAATCGATAGAAGATCCAGATTTTTTATATTTATGATAAATTCTATTTTTTGAGTTTTTCATTGCAATTAACTCAGGAGTGATTCAAGGAGGTATATTCGAATTGATAAAACGAACTGTGGGGACGATTTCAAAAAAAAAAATATTTAAGATTGTGGTAAAATTTTCTGCGACAACTTCAAGATCCCAAGCATACAAAGACAAATGGATTCCCAATCGATAGAAGATATTAAAGAATTACGTTTTCGATGATTGATTATTTGTAATTTCAGAAGAGTAATCCGTTGATATAGTCAATGTTGGTTGATGATTATTTTCAGGAAAAAATAAGGGAGAATTTCTACATATGTTAAATATCTGAGGATCATTAACAAATGCCAAAGGGTTTGTTTCAGATAATTTTGCCACGATGTCAGAGATCCATCGATTTGAAATTGAAGAATGAGTAAGCGGAATCAAAGCGTCTGTGTCAGGTAGACATACCCATTTAACATGAGATATATTGAAATCACCTAAAACAACACAGCGGTCGGTATTAGCCATATTAGATGAGGCTGCATTTATTGCCGCCAAATGACGTTCGTATAATACTGCATTAGATGCTGGAGGAATATAAGAGCATGTAATAAATAATTAAAAGGCATTTAAACTTATACATACTGCTACAAGTTAAAAGTCTAAAAATGTGTCATATTACAAAGTTTTGGTTTTAAATGAAATGCGATTTTGCGGTATATAATAACGACGAAATACACACCAGGGTATGAGTAATAAAACTTAGATTCATATTTACGAACGAATGTTCAGCATTTCAAGTTAAAGTATCAATTTGCATTTTGTTTTAATAAAGATCTCTTTTTTTTCTATTTTATGACTATAGTATATTAGCAAATATAAAGACTAAAAATGTTATGTAAATTAAATATTACAACATTTTTTGTTTACATTAAATGTAAGCCATATAAACACGTACATGCCATAAACACATTTTAATAACTCTATTTAAAGAAAATCCTATAATAATAAAAAACTTTTATCGTTTTGTATCGATATTCTTCTACAGCAGATACGATTATGTTTTCTATTTTAATTAAGAGTTTTGTTTACACTTCAGAATATATTATGCAAAAAAAAAAAAGAAAGTCAGCAATGACATGAAGTGTTGAAATAATTTTGCGATAATTTTTTTATTCGATTTCATAGAGTTTTTAACCAAATCAATAACTGGTAATAATTAACTGACATATCATGACACTGACAACCAAATATTTGATTGTTATGATAAATTAAAAAGACAATTTGTTTGTGGTTTGTTGTTGTGACAAATTAAAGATACAATTTTTGTGGTTATACCAAGTGTCAATGTTTAATGACATTTAAGACAACCAAAGTGTGCGAAATAAAAACAAAATAATTGTAATTAAAAACGTATGTCATAATTACTAAGCAATTACGATAAAAGCCCAGTGCTCTCACTTTGTGCACAATAAATTTCCGTCAAGAATATTTATCGATTTACAGTAGTTGTAGCTTCTATGAATTAAGTAAACAAGTTCGTATGTCCTACGTTTTGTCGGGGTGAAACAAGTCACTTCAGGTATTATCTCAACGAAGCACTTCACGTCATACAATAAAATCAAAGGTGAATTGTGATTTTCTTTATAAGTATAGTAATTTAAAAAAAAACTACTGAGTTAATAATATGATATCGGAGAGAGTTAGAGGGTGAGGAGGGAGGGGAAAAACGGTTGGCAAGTGAAAACGATTAGATACTCGAATAGCTAGCTGAGCAAACTGTAGTGTAATGTGTTGAGATAGGTTGCTATAATTTACATCCTAAAGATACTCACATCACGGCTATACAAATACGGAAGGTATTTAGATAAAAAAGGGTGTTATGGGGCAAACATTTATGACAAGAATTTCTGAGAAACCATTTGGCTAATATTTAAAAATATGTCTAACTATTATGAGGAGATATTAATTGTTTAATTTACCCATCGGCAGAGATCTATTTTATAGGGTCGTGACACGTGGCATTTATGAGTAAACTCGAAGCTTATTTATGCCGAATACTGCCGCAAGTAAAATTTAAATTTTGAAAGCAGAATATTGTCAAATTGTGAAAAATTATGAAAAAAGTAATTGGCATTTGTTATCAATTTTTTATATTTGGTAACAACAATTACAAACTGGGAGTAACAAATAGCATATCCTTTGCTTAATTACATACCCTTTTTTATTGATGTCGCTATAAACAACGTGAAACAAATTGCCATTGTCTGATATTTTAAAATATCAAAATAAAAAAAAAAAATTAAATGTCACTTAATGCATTCATTCATCATTTCCACATTCTGTGGAAGACCCATCACCTTTTTTCCATTGTAAGAAGTTATACGTCAATTGTGACTGATATGTTGTGACCAGAATATTTAATTTGATTACTTTTTTATTGACAAAAGTTCTGCTGATAACAAAAAAAGGAAAAAAGTTATAAACACGTTCCGTCAATTGTGTGTACGAATAATTCAATTTAAATTGCAAATATTTCATCAATCAATAATTTTTGAATGTTTTTTTGGTTAGTTTTTGTTGTTTGATTCCTTGGAAAATCAATAATGTCTACAGTTAATTTCTGGGAATCTTGGTGAGGTAAAATTTTTCTTCAGATGATATTTGGCTGGGACGTGATGGGAAATATAAGTTTATCAAAATTTAAAAGTGCCACCTGGAGAAAGAATACGGTTTTATAACATACCTGATTTGTGCTCCTTTAATGCTCTGTAGAGATCGGTTTCATCCAAAACTTTTTTGCGTCCTTTGAAAAATGTTGGCATAACAAAACTGGAAATAAGGTAAGAAAACTCTTTTTATATTGGTTCAGGTTAAATCATAATTTAGGTATATAAGAAAATCAGTGAGCGGAGAAGTATAGTCGGACGGTGCCGACCATATGATACCCTACACAACTTCCACGAAAATATAACGTTCTGTGGTTCTATATTCTGAATTTGACCGTCTAGAGGTCGAGTTATGATGATCGGTATACTTAAAGGTGGGTTTAGGACCAATATTTCGCGGCATTACAAACTCTTGGGGCTGCACAATGCTATAATACCCTGACAACAAAAAGGAATGAATCTGAAACCTTTACAAAATTCGTAGTACATAAAATTGTAAATAACACAACGACGATCATGAAATGGCATTTGAGGGTCAGTAGTGATGTTGGTTCTGTATTTACTAGTGTGTAGGGTTGAGACAAGGATATGGTTGTCGAAATTTTCACTTGAGGTGTATGAAAAAGTCAAAATGGTTAAAAATTCAGTGCAGAGATGGTGATTCAGATTTCGAACTGATGGGTCCCGGGTTCGAATCGCAGTGGAGGAGGAAAGCGGTTTTGAAGAATTGTAAAAACATGTTTACATCCCCCTTCAGATAAATGCATCCGAAACGCCCTGATATTCAATAACCAATCATAAAATATGAACAGTAGGAGGGCCGAGGTACGCAACGGAAAGTTGCAACACTAAATAGCAGGACTCAAACCACTGCAACAATTCAAGGAATCACTGTTTCTAGGCAACGATAGATGCCAGCTTCATAAACTAGGACTGGCTATAGCCGACACACAGGTTTGATTATTCGTTTTATTTAAGGTATAATTTTTTATATAAGGTATATAAGTTATTAAAGTGGTTTCGGATTTAATGTTGATCAAATCGGATATTCAATTCGCTTCAAAAAAATGACGGTCCCCACTTTCGGACTTAATCTTGGCTTGGTAAAGATAATAGGTTGTGCAAAGTTTGGTTCAAATCGGAGATTCCATTCGCCTGACATTGGGTTTAAAATATTGAAAATTTTGAACATTTGTAGGGGAGGTACCAGAAGGAGTGGACCAATAGGTCTCATCTTCAGACTTCATTTAGGCTTGGTTGTGCAAAGATAGGTTTAAATCGGAAAGTTTTTTTTTAAATTTTATACAATTTTGACCATTTTGTGGGGGAGTTAGTGGACTTATATTCCCCATCTTCGAACTAAAACTAAGCTTGGAAGAAATATCAAGATGTGCAACGTTTGAATGAAATCGATTACTCCCTTCGAGAGTTATCGTGCGCACCAGCCGGCCAGGCAGACAGGGGGAAGGACGGATGTAAATCGACCCCAAATTTTCTGAAACGGATTTGGTCCAAATAATCTGTATAATTTCTTTGAAGTTCATATGGAAATATACGAATCACAAATGAAATTCTTTAAATTTCAAATGATTTTTTTTGAATTACCAATGAAATTCTCGAATTGCGATTGAAATGAATAGCATTTGAAAAGGTTATTTGGAGCTTGAAAATTTAAAAATTGTTAAAGCGAATAGTAAATCCGGTGAGTTCTATATATTGCAGATTTAATGCAAAAATCGGCTATATAGGTCCATCATTTATGGTACCTGCCCCATAATTATTTAATTTTTTTTTAAATTACAAATTTAGTAAAAAAATTTTCGACCTCGACAGTAATTCCGTAAACCTCTGCAAACCATGTGGCTGGGGTATATACATATCTGTCCAATAATTATATTGTGTTTAGCGGAATAATATTTTCATATACATGTTTATTTTTATTGATTTCCATCTTATTAGCAATTTAAATCTCCCGTTCAATTTGATTGGCTTGTAAAACAACTATAAATTCAATGATTTGCAATGACTGACATTTTAATGTCAAACGTCAATAAATAATTAAATGTGGATAATATTTATTTTCATAATTAATAGTACAACCTTGACTTCGATTATTATCGATGCTCTTCTTTTGATTTTTTTTAATTTCTAATTTCGGTACACACTGTACGCAAAATAAAATGGAAAAATTCCCGTGTTGAATGGAGATATTAAAGTTGTGTGTCCCCTATAGAGTTAAAGATAATTGCGGTTGCTTGTCAATCGAAAACAAAAAATATTTGAAATAATTGATAAACCCCATCCAGCTAACCATCCACTCTTGATTAAATTTAATTTTCATTCACTAAACGAATGTTCTACGCTACAGTTATCAAGAAACGAACTGAAAAAAAAAACTAAATTTGACATAATTTGTTGATAGTATTCGGCAGTGACGTTTGATAAATTTGATTTATTTTCATTGCAAAATTAGTAAGGCTCAGGTGACAAATTTGAAATTGTCAAATAGAAATATGTGTATTGATTTATGAAAATAAAAACATTATGCATATGGGGAAACTTTATTTAGAACATTCACTCTACTGTCACTTCGTAATTATCTGTTCGGAAGGTCTGCAATTTATTTATTTTTTCAGAAATTGGTAAAAATAAATCAATTCTTTAGTCCATATATCTTCCCATCTCCATAAATTAATATTGCAAAGTAGAAAATATTATAAAAAGAAAACCTTACCCCCTTAGGTTTAACATGTTCATTGCAGTATATCTCTCATCATTGAAATTATAGTGAAAATAAATTCAAATATATTTTTACGAAAACATTTCAAACAAGTTTGTTTTTGCTAGCTTGTAAGTCAACTAAAATGTTAGAAACAAAAATCTATTAGCTGATACGAAACAAATGTGTAATTTTATTTACTCAATAAAATGTGCATTTCAAATTCAATAAAAAGAAAATAACAACAACAACAATAATAACAACACATTTTCATGTGTGTAAATTCGAATAAACGTTTTTTCGCACTTTGTTGTAGTTGTTGTTGTTGTTTTCTTGAGAACTTATTACTAGACATTTTGTAAGGACCAGACACTGCAACGCCACTTAGAAGTGATCTGAAGTGAAGTGAATTGTTATTGTAATTGCAATGTAAACATTCAGCTACATACGTATGTACATACTTGTATATTGACGTTGTAGCCGAACAAATTTATTTACTTAATCAGACTTGGTGTTGTTGTTGCATTTAATTGATATGTGTTGCTGGCTGGCGATTGGATTCATTACAACCGCAAATTGAAAGCGCAAAGGAAAAAAATATTGCCATTTGAATTTAATCTAAACAAATGAAACAATAGCCAGCTATGCAGTTCACTGGGGAGCAGATCGCGGGTGTGGGAGTGAAAGAATGAAAAAAAATGTCGAATGAAATTTCCATTGTCCATCTGTTGCTCTACATGAGTCAACTGTTGTATTAACAATGAACCAATTTTGTTGTATTTTTACAGACGTCTCGCTGACTTAGATTACAACAAAATATTTAGAATTTGTGATCATTCAGAATCCCTCCTAGGAGCCTAAATTTGAGGCAAATTATTCATATAGATCTGCTATGACATAAAAAAAACAAAAAAATGTAAAAAAGGAGCAAAGCACCGCCGTATTATTCGAGTAGTCTTTGTGTAAGTTTCGTTATGGTTGTTTTTATTTCAGTTTGTTTTTATTTCAGTAAGTAGATGATTGATCTGAGGTAGCCTGTCCTAGGTGATGTGGCTGCCATCGATTGTTGCCTAGAAACAAAGACATCTTGAATTTTGTGCAGTCGTTTATTTTGTGTTTCCATTTTTCTCTGGGTGACGCTTTCATCTGTCACAAGTTTTATAGTTAAGACCACTATTGTTTTTGGTAAATATCGGTCAATATTTAGGGGATGAAATGGACCAAGAACTTTATTTTTGTCTGATTTTCTGGTCGCTCCATGGCCGCAATTATGGCCCAAACATCGCGAATATTTACATGGAGAAGGGGATCGGTCCAAAGAATAAGCATGCCTGTTTTCAATATTTAGCGGGTCAAATGGACCCTGAATTTTGTGTGAAAAATGGCAAAATTTGTATACCATGACGTATATATTTACTCCTGAAAGACATAGACCCGAGAAGACAGTATATCCAAGGGGAGTGAGTTCACCTTTATGGTCTCGGTGTCAACATTTTTTGATTTAATTCGAATCTATACTAATTCAAGAATGTCCCTACAAAATTTCAAGTGAAAATCTCAACAACTCTTGAAGATATAGTCGATTTATTGTGGTAGCAAATTAAAATTAATTTTTTGCACAATTTTGACCATTTTGTGGGGGAGTTACTACAAGGAGTGGACCTATATTTCCCATCTTCGAACTTGACTAAGTTTGGAATAAATACTACGATTTGTAAAGTTTGGATGATATCGGTACTCTCTTTGAGAGTTTTAGTGCGCACCATCCGGCCCGAGAGAGAGAGAGGGACATTTGTAAATCGACTTCAAATCGTCTAAAACGGAATTGGTCCAAAGAAACATGGGGTCTAAAGCTAATATTTCGATGAGACACATTTTTGCCGCATCAAATTGTATATAGCCGCATTGGGCCATCAAAATACCTAAAATTCTGCGGGGACTTTATACGCAACATGGAACTACATTTAAAATGTTCTACAAAGTTGGTTTTCATCCTGTAAGAACCCGGAACGGTTGAAAAATGCGACTATGTTTCTAAAATTGATCTGCTGCATTATATGAGGTCCATACCAAAACCATGGACCTATATGTTTAAATGTTCACCTAGAAAACCCTCAAAATTATAAATTTCCACAACCTGGTTTAGAAAATGCATATAGGACCATCAGAGTACATAAAATAAAGAGGTTCCTTTGTATGGAAGCTATACCACTACAAAGACTTATATTACAAATTTTCTGCAAGGGTATTTTCAAGAACTCAAAATGCCAAATGTTATCCATTTGGCTTGAAAGTGCGGCTAGGACCATAAAAGTAGCTAAAATAGCCAAAACATGGATCTATACTTGCAATTTTCTGCAAAAATGTTTTTCACCCTCCAAAAATCCTGAATCCATGTCACTCGGTTGGGGAATTCTGCTAAAACTTATTTATAGACATACGAA